CTCCCACCGTACTCCAGCAAGAAAGCGTCGGCTTACTACTCGTGAGACACTCGCACACACACCGCATGTGTGTTTGTCACCGGTGGGTGTGATGGATCCATGTGGAGACTTCTTCTCTTGAGCTTTGCTGTGTGATCTGTGTGCTGTTTAAGGTGCAGCTGTGGGGTAGTCATGTGACCCTAACAGTGTTGTGTGGAAGCAAGAATGTGCCACAAACTCATGATTATTATTATTATTTAAAAATAAATGTGTATTTATAACAAATACATTTTATTTAAAAAAATTCAAAAAAATTAATTATTAAATTAATAATTCTTTAATTAAAATGAATGAATTCACTTTCGTATTAACACCGAACTGCTACTAATTACTACAAACTGATGTGCGTGTATGGAAACAACCCCACCAGCAGCTAGCATATTAAAGCTTTGTTAGCACGTCACCTGAACACGTACGTCTGTCCCACGATCCACACGCTGTATTTCAAACCAAAGCCTGGCTCTCTTTGCTCTCCATGCAGCATGTCCTGTTGTTTTAGTGTAGCGGTGTTAGCTAGCTGTAGTTAGCAACGCGTTAGCGACGATCTGTCCTGGTTTTAAAGTGCCACAGTTAGAAATGAAATACTGATATGATTTTGATCACACACATAACGACGCCACGATGAACAGAAACGCAGGAATCCACGTGCCAAACAACCTGAAAAAACAGAATGCAGGAACTAGCTAACAGCTAGCATGTTTGGCTACAGTAATTGAAAGTGAAGCATGAATAATCTGACATGATGTCAGCACATGTGCTGTTAGTGGCACACAGCTCACTTTCTCCAAACGTGGCTCCTGTTGTGCTAAACTGCACAAACCCTGTAGCTGCATCTGAATGCTACCAAAGCATGCTAATGTTAGGTTGTGGTCAGTGTTGTGCCCACAACATTCTGCAAATCTGAGGTCAAAGGTCAAACTACACTAATGTATTTACTATTTACTGTGTGGTAGCATAGCAGCTGATGTTTAATCAGAGTATAGCATCACGTCAGTACTGTTTGCGGTCTCCTAGCATAGTCTGCAGTAGTAGACAGAGGACTGTACGTCAGTAAACCATCAGCAGGACCAGTATTTGCTTTATGCAACGAGGAACAGGATGACCTCTAACTGGCCACTGTTTAATGTCTCTGACCAACAACAGGCTTCATGAGGGCGGCCTCCAGTGGACTCTGATTGGCATTTGCCATCGAATACCAGAACTGGCAGGTCCACCAGTGGGGCCCTGTGCTTTTCATAGATTCACCCTGAGCATATGTGAAAGACATGAAAAGGGTCTGGAGAGGCCGTGGAAATGTTATGCTGCCTGTGACATCCTTAACATGATGGAAAAGAGTTCAAACCAACAGAAACTGAAGAAAAAAGATGAAATAACGATCAACAATAGTCCAGGGAAATTAATAAAAACGTTTGTTTGCAGCAGAAACAGCTGTTTGACCTGCAGGAACAAAGCAGGCTGGCAGGGTCCAGCACAATGCAGGGCCTTCAACATAAGCATTAAGATGTTCAGACCAATGCTGAAATGACCTGGAAGCCCGTGTAATGTCTAAGTGCAGGTGTTTTATCATTGTGCTGTGAGCAGTCAATGTAAACGCATCATTTCAGGTAAAACAGATTAGAGGTTACATCAGGTACAGGTGTAACTCAAACATGCTGTTCATGTTTGACTGGTCCCTGTTTGTCAGCGTCCAGTCAAACTCATAAGGATCAGTTGTCTGTTACTGAATGTGCAACATTGTCAGTCTTTAGCAGTACTGAGAGAAATGATACTACTGTACATGAGAGATGCAGTCATGGTCAGCGGTCAGAGTTCGGGCACTGTGCTTTCGAAGCCGTAACCTGTGATTGTTGCAAAGTCTTGCAGAAGATCCTTGGTGGTGTCACGCTCAGCCTCCTGTCACCACAGCAGGCTTGTTAGTGACGATGGCACTGAGTCGTTACTAAACGCCTCTGTCTGTCTTTTCCTTTCCAGTTTCTTTACCTAATGCAGCGTTTAAGGTAAACACTCAACCAAACTTACACAGTTGATATAAAAGCAGATGTGACGTCTAATATGTTTTATCTTTCTTCCCCATGATCAGCTCCAGCACCGTCGGGGACCTGATCACGGCACCATCCCTTCACTGAACCAGCACCTTTGTTCCAAGGCACTAATATGTGAAATGACTTGTATATAAACACTGTGAGTAACTACTGTACAAAGACTGAGCACTGTTAGCATTCGCAGCGCTCCAGGTTTGATAGCTACACGTAGAGAGTAGAAGTTTTGATAATGTTTTTGATATTAGATATTTTTCACTGTAGTCATTACG